CCGTGTCTAGCAAAGTCGATGTCTTGGCTAAAGGGGGTCTTGTTTATGTGAACAATTCCTCCACCGGTGGAGATTAACTTATTTATATAAAGTCGGGTTGATCAAATAAAAAAAATTGTTTTAATCAAATTAATTGATTTTTGACAATCGATATATTTTAGATAAATTGTTCGATTTTTTTTTAGAAACGACATATATGTTATATTGCCACATAGAAAAGGGAGATAGAACATGTGAAGTAGGTTGGGTATTCCAAGTTCCAACTATAGGACGGAACTACTGACATCCTAGGTATGCATGGGGAACATCATGGTACTTCCCCCCTTTACACTTAGGTGAATGGCCTCATATTGGTGATGGAGTGTTTTTGCTCTCCTTTCGTCACAAACTCGAAAGAACTCATAAGCACTGGCGAATATAGAGTATGAGGAGTAGGGGCATTAAGCAATTGATATTTATTAGTTTAATACCCTTAATAATTTTTAAAAAATGAGCTTATTGCCCCCATGAAAAACGTTTTTGCATTCGCCAATGCTCATAAGGATGGTGGCACAACAAGAGGATTGGCGAGGCTTTCAACCCGAATTAAATGCATTGGCAGAGCTTCAGAATTCGTTTTCGGAATTTAATCTTGTTTACCAACCAAGGGATGAGAATCGACGAACTTACTTGTTAGCAAGGAATGCTCAAAATTGCCGATTTCATTTTTTTTATTGGGACTTCTGTTCCCATCTGGTTTATAAATGCATGTGATGTATTTACGTAACTAGAGACCGAAGTGTGTTGTGAAAAAAAAAAACAAAAGAAAACAGACTGTTTTTGGAAAGGCAAAAACTATCTACAAAAACGATGACGTTTCCACATTTACTGGATTGGAATTGGATACTAAAAAAGTTCTCTTCTTTAGCAAAATTCATCAATGGCGCTTTGTCAATTCCCAGTGAACCTTCACACTATTTCCTCTTCTCCTCAATTTCGTCGTCTTCAACCTCTGGACATCTATGTAAAATCTAGCTTTTTCATCAGTAGGCTCAGATTTCATAGCTTCAATCACGCAATTCGGTTTAACACCCGTGAACTGAATGCCATCGGAGCCGCCATTGATATCGACACTCACCAAAGCAAGAAGAAGAAGAGAAAACCTAAACCGGGTTTCTTCGAAGAAATTAGCGATAAATGGTCTTCTCGTATCGGCCCTAAGAACAACAATTTTCCTTGGCAGAAGCAGGAAGACCAAATTCAACAACATCGTGAAGAAGAAGAAAATCCATCTTCTGGGTTTGGTTTATCTGGTAAGAAAACCGATTCCAATGTCCGATATTCTGCGAGTGAATCGTCGAGTTTCCCAAAGCCAAGCGGATACATGTCTGCTCCATGGGTTAACAATGGGTCTAAAGGAGTGAAATCTCCGTCTAGCTCTGAGCAGGATATTCGAAATTCGAGTTTCGATAATGGTTTGATTGTAGATAGATATAGAAGGGATAACGATTATGGCAATAGAGGTGTAGATGGTATCACTAGGGAAGCAAGAGATTCGGATTTGGATGATGATAATAGTCAAAGAGGGATGATAGATTCAGGGAAAGAGAAAGGGATATGGAGAGGGAAGAAGAGTAATACGGTAGTAGCAGAGAGGATTGTACCAGAACATGAGCTGATAAGGCTGAGGAAAGTAGCTTTGAGAATGATTGAGAGAGTTAAAGTAGGTTCTGCAGGAATTACGCAGGCGCTTGTCGAAGCTATTCACGAGAAATGGGAGGTTGATGAAGTTGTGAAGCTGAAATTTACTGAGCCTTGTTCTCTTAATATGAAGAGAACTCACGAAGTTTTGGAGGTTAGTTTCGAATATGTGAAAAAAAGGAATGATATTTCTGCAGAATTCTGAACTAAAGTGTTTGCTTTTTGTTGTTGTTGTGGTGTGTAACAGAAGAAAACCGGGGGGCTGGTGATATGGAGGTCAGGAAGCTCACTCGCGTTGTACCGAGGAATAAGTTATAAGCTCAAGTGTGTTCAATCGTTTATTAAGCAGAACAATCTCGATTCAAGCCCTGAAATCCGTCGAATTGTAGAGCCAAGGGATTACACACCAGAGGATGCGAATTACCCGAAGAATGTACCTGAAGAACAATTATCCGAGCTATGTGAATTGAACGATTTGTTGGACGAGCTTGGTCCAAGGTTTCATGATTGGACAGGGTGTGCTCCGTTGCCTGTAGATGCAGACTTGCTTCCTCCAATGGTTCTAGGATATAGGATTCCGTTTAGGATTCTTTCACAAGGAGTAAAACCTTCTTTGTCTGACACAGAGATGACAGAAATGCGCCGGCTCGCTAGGACAAGCCCACCACATTTTGCTTTGGGTATGCATAAAATCATTGAATATTATTATTTTAGTAGTAATATATGAGTAACTGTTGTTTCTTTATTTATCCGGTTAGGGAGGAGCAGAGAGTTACAAGGTCTGGCTGTGGCAATGGTAAAGCTATGGGCAAAGAGCGCGATTGCAAAAATAGCAATCAAACGCGGTGTGGAAAACACGCGGAATGAGAGAATGGCAGAAGAACTTAAGGTTTGATGAAAACATGAACGCTCATATATATGCATACGCACCAATATTTTCGCTGTGCTCACTTTGTTTTTCTTATTCATTCTTGAAGAGACTTACCCGTGGTGTACTTGTTTCGAGAAACAAAGAGTACATTGTCTTTTACAGAGGCAATGACTTCATGCCTCCTGCCGTTGCAGAGGCATTTACCGAGAGACAAAAGGAGATAACAGAAGTTCTTCAAACCAAAGAGGATCAAGTCCGGGAAATGGCTTCAACAAGAGTCACACTCACATCACAAGTCAAATCGCCTAAAACCCAGTTGCTCGCTGGAACGCTTGCTGAGACTATAGCTGCAAGTTCTCGGTGGGCACCAGAGGCAAGCAGCGTGGATATCGAAGAGTTAAAGAGAGAATCAGCTTCCATCAAAAGAGCTGCATTGATTAGAGATCTCGACCTGAGACTTCTTTGTGTTAGTATTATTAGCCTCCTCATTGAGTAATCCCTTCTCTTCTTTTGGTATCTGATTGCAAGCATTTGATGATCTTTCTTTTGTTATAGGCAAAGCAAAAGTTGAGGAGAGCTGAGAAGGCTTTAGCTAAAGTGCAGAAGGATCTTGACCCATCAGATCTCCCGAGTGATTCAGAAATAATCACAGAAGAAGAAAGAGTTCTTTTCCGCAAAATTGGTTTGAGTATGGATCCTTTTCTTCTCGTAGGTAAGCACAAACACTGTTCGCAACTTACGGGTCAAGTTTACAGCCAAAACCATCTGTAAAATATTGCGATCTTCATGTTCTTTAAACGTTTTACAGGAAGACGAGAAGTGTATGATGGTACTATAGAGAACATGCATTTACACTGGAAACACCGGGAGCTTGTAAAAGTGATTGTTAGAGGGAAATCTCTTCCGCAAGTCAAGCACATCGCTATTTCTTTGGAGGCTGAGAGTGGAGGAGTATTGGTATCCGTTGATAAAACCATGAAAGGCTATGCAATTATACTTTATCGCGGGAAGAATTATCAGATGCCATTCCGGCTTAGGCCTTCAAACTTGTTGACAAGAAAAAAGGCTTTTGCTCGATCGATTGAGCTTCAAAGAAGAGAAGTAATGATGATGATAATTTACAATATAACTTGTGTACAAAAATTGTGTTCTGATCAATGTAACATTGGTCTCTTTGCTTCGACAGGCCCTGAAGCATCATGTTGCGGACCTAGAGGAACGGATTGAGCTGTTGAAGACTGGACAGGTTTGATGGAATTTGATTGCTTTTACAATGGATCAATCTACTTTAATCTCTTCTGAATAAACAAACTATCATGAAATTGATCCAGGACGAGGACAGGGAAACAAGCAAGAAAAGTGATGCGGAGGAAGAGAACTTGTATTTGAGAGTGGATGAATCTGATTTTTCTTCCGATGAGGTAAAATGAAAACTTTCTGAAAGGTTCTTAATTAGGATTTGAAAATTTACTTAGATTCACATCATCTTTAAAATGGAATTTTGTGAATCAGGATGAATCTTTGGAATAGGAATCAGAAAAGAATGAAACTTTCTTATCATCTAAAGCAGAAGACGAAACTTGAACCGGTAAACAAAACCAATCGTTTAAAATATCAGAACCCGTAACAAAAAGTAACCGGAAACTACATTTTCATTTATGAACAATGGGTTGGGCTGGCCTGACCGGTCCGATCTATTTTGAAACTTAAAACTGGTTAAAAGCTTACACTTTGAAATGACAAGTTTCGAGTTCCAAAATAACATAAAGAAGCAATATAGTTTGTTACCAAAACGAAGTTTGTTCACCTGCCGTGTGGGAATCACTGTCCTTGGCGTTATGGTCTCTCATGACATCTTGATTATTATCTTAGCTAAGAACTCACATCACTCATTATTTGTTACATATAAGCATGTAACCATTCACACATTGAAAAATTCACTCATGGAATAACTCCATTAGTCTCACCAAAAGAAAGCTTATTCATATCATTAATCTCTGTGCTGAGCGTAACCATTGCTTCTCTTGGTAATGTCATGACAATTTTAGCCCCACCTTCCATTGATGCATCCAACTTCGAAGGTCGCATGATAAGTCCAAGGTTGCTTGCTTTCTGTTGAGGAGTCAACGGCCATATATTCACAGGCTCGTTCCAACCGAAATCCACCGATTTGAATAAGCCGGTGTTCCTCAAATCTGTCAATAGCAATATACCATCAGTTACCCCTTGGAATTTCACATCCTCTTTCATCAGTCTCTCTGTGTTCCGTAGTTCCTCCTCGATATACTTCTTGGTAAGAGTTGTTTTTTTTGCTTTCTTCACAAGCTTTACAATGTCAGAGATCGATGATTCCTCAAGCTCTCTTGCAGTTATCTCAATGTAGACGTCTATGTAAGCGTTACCATAGTATCCCTCGGGGATTGGTGGATCCGTAACATGTCGGATTCCGACAGTTATGTTAAGGACAGTGATCCCCTCAAGGTTTAGCTTTAGGGCCCGAGATGTTGATTTCCATATGTAAGCACAAATAACTTCAAAAGTAGTGAAACTCTCCTCAAGTTCCACAGTTTCTTTAAGCTTTTTTATAGTTTCAGCCTTGATGTTTACTGTCTGTATCACCTGCGGATCAAAAGATGAAATCTTGCTTACATAACCAAGTTTTGTATTGAATTTCAAAAAGAAAAAGTTAAAAAGAATTCTATTTATCGCTATAGAGGTAATTATTTAACAAAGTTCTACTCGTCCCAATTTATAAAATATTTTGAAATCACAATAAAAATACTCGAAAATAAGAAATGTCTAAAGCCTTGAATATTTGTAAGCATTTTAATATTTCTAGCCCAATTGTATATAATTCTAAAATACATAAGTCTCAAAAAATTTATTTCCAATATATACATATTTATATAATTAATTTTCAAAAATATATAACACAGATTTTATTTTGATAATTAAATAAGTGTTATTTATACATTTAATGAAAATGTTTATAATTTAAAAAAACAAAAAAGGGCAATTACAAAAATGCTTGTGTGCACATTTGCAAGAATAACACTTATGGATACCCATTTGCAAAAATGCCACTAATTATAAATTTATAAAGCCTATATCTTAAAATTCTAAACCCTAAAAAATGTTTTGACCCCTAAAACCCCCTAAACCCTCCTAACTAAACCCTAATAGAACATAATAAACCCAAACATAAATGATATAAAGAAAAAATAATTTTGAAAAGTGGTATTTTTGTAAAGATTTCAAAAGTATGACATTTTTGTAAAATGACATTTGAAAAGTGGCATTTTTTTAAGTTTTTCAAAAAAAAAAATCACTAATTTTTGTTTTGCGCGTTTCTAATTTGTTTAAAAAGAAACAAAACATTGTCCACTTTATGGTGTGGACCATTGTCTAGTAACTATTTAAATGATGCACAGCTTTTTCATGAAAGGTCTAGACTCTCGGTTAAAGCTGGACAAAATCAAAGATGGTTTTGCATTTTATTATCATAAGCCTATCAATCACAAACCACTAAAACAGAAATGTTATGTGATCATCCATTGTTTTAGTGGAAAATGATTTCGATAGAGAATGACTTTTACTTTCGTGATCCAAGTTGATGTGAACATAACATACCATATCTGGGCTTCGCATATATGGTGAATTAGCAAAAAGACCATCTTTATCAGCGCCGGGTACTAAAGCCGGTTCATCGTCTATTTTCTCCACCAATCGTTCTCTTTGCCATACTGGCAGTACCGATGGCTCGCTCTTTCCTCCGGCTAACTCGGTTAGAGCATTGAAAATCGTAGCCACGCCGAACCCATCACACATCGCGTGTGTCACTGCTATGCCAATGGTGAATCCACCGCAAGGAAATTTGGTCACCTTGAAAATCAAAAGGATAGATATTAATTTTCGTAACTACGTCCTTAAGAAATATTTTAATAGATTTTTGTGGCTTCAAACCAAATCTATTTTTCTGTTTGGACTTATGACTAGAAATATATGCAAAGTATATATTTCTAGTCTAGTTGGGGAAAAAATAAAAATCCGATACCTGCAAAGAGAGTGGATGACAACCAATCTCACTGTAAAAGTTAACATCCAGCTCATGAACAAGCTGCGATGCAACTTCATCAGCAAAGTTTTCAATGTAGTTTAGAGAGCGAAGATCGCGATCTGCGGTAGCAACCCCAAAAGGGACCCCTTCTCCATTACAAACAAGTTGAAACATTCGATCACTTTTCCTTCTCATTAGCTTGCCTGAAAGTGGATAATAGTACACAAGAAGTTCGGATAAAGCTTTCCTAAGCAAAGAGATCGGATCATTTTGGTTTTTTCCGTTTGCCTCAAAAACGTAAATGTATGCGTACATTGCTTCGTTGATAGGGTTGTTGTCTAAAGTGGAAAGGGAGAGATTTTCACAAGGTGTGTGTTTTGAGGGTTTAACAAATTCAATTTTTGTTTTTTCGAGTAGTAGAGCAGGTTTCGGTTTTGTTTGGTTTTCCATCTTACCAAGTTTTGTATGTATACTTTATAAATGATCATCTTCCCTTCTTATATAGTGAAGCCTCATTTATTCTTTTGAATTGAGAAGCCTCATTTATTGATATTTGGTATCAAAAGGAAGGGATTTAACAACTCGCTATTATTGAAAGACTAGTTGAATCTTCGGCAATTGCCCCAACCTCTAAGTGGCAAAAACCCTAGCCGCCATAGAGAAAAGGAGAGAAAAAAGTGATTTGAGTTTTCTCCTTTTCCGATGTCCGCTGCTTTTACCGATTTCGTGAGAGGGAGATGGTTGTAACCTAATAGAATTTTTATGTTCGACATGAAGTCTAAGGGATGTCCATGAGAGTTTTTGATTGGAAGATGATGCGATGTTATTTTCCGTCTGATTTTTTTAGGTCTAGTTTGTCATTTCCTTCATTGAGTTTAGTTTGTGGTTCCCTCACTGGGTTTAGTTTCATGGATGAAGTTTTTGGTTGAAGTTTTTTTCCTCGTAGAAGATCTATAGTTTGCTAGTATCTAGTCAACTTTGGCTATATATTTGATTTAAATTTTGCAGTTCAAAATTGTTCAACGGCAGTTTCACTGAAACAAACTCGGAACAAAATTGACAAAAAGCAATCAAGGAAGGAGATTTATCTAAATTAAGAGAATTGTTATCATATTATCTTAATATATATTCGAAGTCCGGCTGCTATTGTGGATTCGGAAACACCTAATTGTCTACTTTCGGTTCGAAACAAGATCATCTTGGTATCGCTAACCTATCGTCACCGATTATTGTCCTCATTTGATTTCTGGTGAGGAAAGGACCATTAGTTTATCTTTGTATCGTATTTGTTGAACTTCTTCGTTGATGTAATATATTTTAAATCAGCTCTAATAAAAGAAAGTGTTAAAAAAAAAGTTGACTCTTCAGCACCCAATCCAGACATTATTGTAAATTTATAAATTAAAGTAATTATTAAAGTTTTTTTGTTTCAACACCTTGTTTTTCATTAACTTAAATTTCAAGAGTACATCCACTAAAACTACAATACATAAAAGCATTAAAACTTAAAACAAAAGAAACATCATAGATATACGACAGAGAATCAAATTTTTTTTCCTAATGCATCAGTATAGAATCCACGGCCTAGCTGAAAATCATAGATTTGGTCACTTTGAGTAGTGACGTTGAAAGAACACCCATACCTTCGAGTTTCGTCTAAACAAAATTGGCTGCATCTTCAGGCTCCGCACGGACCTCTACACAAGGATACAAAACGGTTAGGGAATTGCTCGGTTTTGAATCCGAGAAAACTCTTACTCTCAATGAGAGAAGAAAGAATGAATGGCAGTATAGTTGACTATATTCATACTTTCTAGGTTGTTGTAGTTAGCTAAAATTCTCACGGTTATTTCAAACGACTGTATAGTTGACTATATTCATACTTTCTATATTTTTATAGTCGACGGATCTCGAATGCAAGGAGAGGTTTGTATAGTTGACTATATTTCTACTTTCTATGTTGTTATAGTTAGCTAAAATTCCTACTTCGTATAATTGACTATATTCATACTTCCTATATTGTTGTAGTTAGATATTCAATTAATAATACAGTAAAATATATAATCTTTACAATAATTAATTCAATTGTAATAGTATAGTTAACTATATAATCTTTACAATTGTATATATTTTAGTCTATATTTATCAAAATAGTTAACTAAATAAAATTTATAATTAAATATAGTTAACTAAAATAGTTCACTGGTTATATACGAATAGTTAGCTATTCAATCATGTATAGTGATAAAAATAGTTCAATATGTAAAACATTGCATTAATCTAGTTCGATAGTAACACTTTGTAGTCAGCTATACCATTCACCTTGTTATTAACGAAGTAGTAGTTATTCACCTTGTTATTTACGGATTCAAGACCCACGAAACAACCGATTGAGTAATCTCGGATATTTCATATTCGGATATTCGTGAACGACAAAGAAATTG